TTCCCTTTCTTCAATCACACGCCATGCCAAGGTAAGCACCCCAAAATGCACCTCTGCCCCCCTCAGAACACAGCAAATTTCCTCCAGGGGACTCTTAAAATAAAACACTTGGAGAACATTCCCTGCACTGGGTTGCTGCCTCCCAAGGTGATCATGAACAAGTTGATTCCACAGTTACTCCAGCTCCTGGCAGGGCTGGGGATGGGGAGTGGAGAACCTGTGAGAGACCTGGCAGCTTCCCTGGCCTCCTGGCTGCTGCACTGAGAACAGGTTTGGGAATGAGACCAGGAGAAAGATGAGGAGCTACTGGGGTAGCCCAGAGAGTTGTTGCCAAGGGGAAATAATCCATTTTTCCATATCTGTGGTGGAAAACAGAGTAAAGAATAACCTTAAACTGCAGCAAGTAATAAGTGCTCAGAGTCCAGTCCCTTGGGGCCAGCTTGGGCCTCCCAGCAGCAGAACTGTGATGTGGAGCAAGGCAAGTTTATTCCTCTGAAATGCCAAAGATATGTCTGTGCTTACAGCTGTTAGGCACTGAAATTCATCCCAGCAGCGATGCCTGGATTATTTCAGTGGCAGCTGAGGGGTGTTGTCACAGCCTGGGGTGGAGCACCAGGATGCCCCATCCCTGGAAGTGTCCAAGCAATATTCAGAGCAGCTCATTCAGGTTATCTGTGTGTGGGCCTTACCTGAAATCTGGCTGTGCATTCCCAAAGCCAGCATTTGTGCTGCTCTGACTTTGTCTGTCTTCTTCTTTGCAGCCCTCCACGAACTCCAGTAAAAGTTGTGCCTCAAATTAGAATAGAACTTGAGCCTGAAGACAATGGTTATTTCTGGAGGAGCAAGGGAACAGAAACTACTTTGTAATTTGTCTGTCTGTCCGATCTTTTACCAATTCATTTTGTCACTAGCCAAATGTTGAGAAGCTCCCTGCTCCCAACGGTGAAGGTAACGGAGCCCGCCCTGCCCCTCCCTGCCCACGCCCTCGGTGTTTCCCGGACTCCTCCCTGCCTGGCTGCGGGGGCAGCAGCGCTCCGGGCCCGCCTGAGCCCCGCGGGAACGCCGGGAGCCGCTGTCTGTCTGTCTGCAGAGCCCAGCTGACCTCCAGGCTCATTCCTTGTCTGCTCCCACTGCTGGAACGTGCTGCTAACCCTCGTGTAGGTAAAAAAGAAGGTACTTCACTCCCAGCACAGACAGACCATTGCCATCGCTGTAGCATGTTTGGAAACGTCCCTTTCCTATGCAATTTTTTTTAAAGAAACACTTTAATGGACTTAATCTGTCAGGTACATGGAAGAGTGTTATTTTCCTAGATTATTTTGTTTAAATTATGGGGGCCTAACCTACGGCTTTTTTTTTTTTTGACAATTTTTTTTAACCTTTTTTTAATTACTGTAAAGAAAAATGAATTTTTTTCCTGCAGCAGGAAACATATAGTTATGAGTAGTTCTACCTCTTATTTCTAGATGCCAGGCTTTCTGTAAAAATGTATTGTACCATATATAATGTGATTTTTACAAGAAACAAACCCACAACATCACACTGCAATCTCCAGGACGTGGCATAGGGCTGGATCAGTTCAATTAACACCTTGTGCTCCGAAGCATCTGTTTTTCTTAGGGTTAAGTTGGTTCTTGGATTTTTTTGTAATGAGCAATCCCTGCTGTGAAAGAGACTTAAATCTCTTGTGATCTTAGAAGAGCATGAATGGACAGCTGCTGATTCTATCCCTGTCGTTGATTTCTGACCTGGGATGGCTCTGTGGTTTTCTTGGAACACCAGTGTGTCTGAATGTGCAGTGAGAAGACCCAAGGTGTGCCTCGGGCACAGTGAACGAGGAGGAAAATGAAGATGGCCTGCTGGGATGTTCATCCTGACACTCAGATTCACAAACATCCTCCTGCATCCCAGCCCTGTGTTCCACCATCTGCAGAATTGACCCTGCACCTTGGCTGCTCTGCCCCACACCAGCAATGCAGCAAGACTCAGCAGGCCAGGCATGGGCATCCCAGGATTCTGAGGTGCAACCAAGCAAGTGGACATCACATCAGGAGAGAGGTTTTCCTCTCTGCAGCATGTTCATACTGGTATGTGCATCTAAAGGCATCTTTGGGAAACTGGGCTTCACCAGGACATGGGGAACACACGAAAAGCTTCGTCCAAAAATAAAAAACAGAACAAGAAGAAAAAGTACCCCAGCTCTCGAGGTGAATTCCCTGATGGAGACAATCCCATCACAGAGGATGGGCACATGCTGCCACTTGGTCCTTGTGAAACCAAAGTCTGGGTTGGTGAAGTCAAGAGGAATTTCTGATGGTGCTGAGACCTTAAATGCCAAATTTTAGCATCTGCTCCCACACAGGAGCCACCACCTCTGTATAGCCCCTGCTCGCCCTTGAGGCGTCTCCCCTTCAGTTTCCATTAAATCTGTGTTGGGTATCTCAGGAACCCAGCTGAAACCTGCTCTGAAAATGCTGGGGAAACTTGGGAAAGGCCTGAAGAGGAGCAGCTCTGGGATCCCTCCTGCTGCTGGAGGCCAGGTAACTTGGCAAGTGTGATGCCAGCTTTAGCCAATGCTCTCCATCCTCTGGTGGACACCAGTGCTGGCGCCCTGTGGGGACACAGGCTGGAGCATGGCCTGTGGAGCACACAGGAGCTGCGTGGGGGATTGCTGCACGTCCTGCCCAGACCAAGCATGTGCAGCAATCCCACAGGAGAGGTGCCATCAGGTGGGTCGCAGGGGCTGCCCTGCTCGGTTCCATGGGCACAGCTTCCAGCTGCTGCTGCCTGGTGATCTGTCTCCCCAAAAATGAGGTCTTCTCTTCTGAACCGTGTTAAATACACTTGAAGTGTCCTGACTGCTGTTCTAGATCTTTCTCTGTGTTGCGTTTTTTTGTGTTGCGCTGAGGGCAGCGCTGCCGACAGGACAAAGGCTCTGCATGAGAAGCGCCCCCCTCTGGCGGCAGGGAGGAGCTGCAGCGTGGCAGCAAAGGCTCTCTGCAGGCCTTGGAGAAACCAGAACGTCCTTTCGATCCAAATTAGGTGTTTTGTCGGAAGTCTGGGTGGGCGCTTCAGGGAATAAGTGTGGAGACTGACCCAAAGCCCTCCAAGATCAGAGGCAGCCGTCAAAAATTACTTTCCCCCAGCAAATGCCAGGTCCCAGCCCGCGGGGAGCCGGCCTGCGCTGCTCCCTCCCGGGGCTGCCGCACCTTTGTATCTCTGTTGGAATCGAGTCGCACTTTGAGATACTTTTATTCTTGTTCTTAATTCTCCTAAGTCCGTGCTTTCTTTGGAGGAGGGAACAAGGACTTAGGATGAAATGAAGTGGATCAGATGGTGGAACTAAAAGGAAAAAAAGCAGAAAACATTTCAAACATATTAAAGTGATTTTTTTTTCCAGTAATATAAAAAATGAAATTCCTTATAACATTATAGTATTTTACAGTTTTATGAAGCTTTCTATTGTGACTTTTATGGAATCAAAAGATGAAGATGATGAGATATTTTAGCATTTATATTTTTCAAAATTAAATAAATGTATACTGAAAATAAAGTAACTTTATGCATTTATGGGAGAGCTCATGTCTGTTTTCCCTCATCATGTGCCAAGTCTTGTCTGATGGAACCGAGATCCCAGAATCAGTTTGATGATAAAAGGGGCTTCTGACACCCTAGTGTTGGACCCACTGAAGCATATTTTGGGATACCTGGGGGAGTGGTTGGATGTAGAGAGTGGCCAGAAGGTCTGGGTCCGCTGGGCCCCCACTGGCCCCTGCCCTCCGGGCCCCTGGATCCCTGCTTGCTCCCGGGGCTCCCCCAGCTCTGAGCTCAGCCGGGGCCGGTGCACAGGGCAGCACTTGGAGGTGAAGGCACCTCGGGGGAGGGCTGGGCTGCGGCTCCTTTGGGATTCCCTGGGATTGCACTCCGGAGGGAACTGAGGACTATCTCCTCAATCACCAAAATGAGGGGAGAAGGAAGGGTCAGGAACTGACCGGGATCAATCTCAGGGGTCTTTTCCAATCCAAATGGTTTTATTTTGGGATTGTAACCTGCACAAAGGCAGTACCACGCACCTGGTGGCATGGAGAGCCACCTCCTTGCCACTCAGCTCTTTGTTGGTCAGCTCTGGTGCCTCTGGAAGCTTTGGAGCAAGTACTGGGCAGAGTGGGCAGCTCCCTGGGTACCGGGTACGTAGATGAGCCCAGCGGTCGGACAGGTCTCACCTATTTCAAGAAGCAAGCAACGGGCATGGGAAAAATGCAGCAGCTGGACACCGAGGAGAGGAAGGTCCCGGTGGAGCCGCGGAGCGGCTCCTCCTGGTCACGGCGATCCAGCCCCGCTGGTTCCAGAGGGGCGCGACGGGCGAGAGCCCCACGGGGCTGCGGCCCGGGGCAAGGGAGGGAGAGTCGGCCGCTCTGCCCCGGCGGCGCAGTGCTCTCGGGGCGGGCGGAGCGGGCAGCCCCGGGGCTGGCCCTGTCGGGGGCTTACCGAGGGGACCACACCGTGCACGGGATGCTGCGGCGGGGCCTCGACGGCGGCCAGGAGTGCGGGGACCGAGCACTGCTGTAGTCTGCCGGGGGGTCCCGGGCGGTGCCACCTCTCCCCCGGCGGGCGGATCGAAGCGGCACCGGGCCCGGGATCGGTTGGTTTCGGGCCCGGGATGGCCGCGGGCACGGGGCGCTGCCTGGTGCGGGATCGCGGCCGTTCCCCGGTGCGGAGCCGCCGTGTGGGGCCGGGACCCCGCAGGGCGCCCTCTGGCGGACACGGAGCGCGGTGCGAGCGCAGCGCCCCCGCGTGGCCGCGAGACAGCGGTACGGGGGGCGGGGCCGGAGGGCACAGGGGCGGTACCAGGGGCGGGACCTGACAGAACACGGGGCGGTGCTAGGGGGGAGCCGGGCGGTGAAGGGGGCGGGACCGGGCGGTAACGGGCGGTACCAGCTCAGGTGTGCAGGGCGGGCGTGGCTCAGGTGCGCGGGGCGGGGCCGAGGTGATTTAGACCCCGGAAATTCCCTCGGCCGCCATTTGCTCACTCAGAGCACGGTGGGGACGGGAGCTCCCTATGCGGGCTTTGCAGGTAAGGCGCGGAGGCTTCGACCTCCCCTTCAGTCCCTCTCTCTACCCCTCCTTCCTTCTTCGCGTATTCCCTCTCTTTCTCCCCTTTCCCTCTCCCCCTGAAACGCTCCTTTCCTCTCCTCCCAAACCCGACCCCCCCCTACTCGTTCCCGTTGTGTCCCTTCCCCGCTACTCCCTTCTATTCCTCCTCTCTCCACTGTCCCTCTTCTCCCCCCCGGCGTTTCTCTTCCTCTCCCGCTTCCCTCTTCACTCCGACCCCTCTCCCTCCCCGTCCTCACCACCCCCATCTCTCCTGTCTCCCCGTCCCCCCCACTCCTTCTTTCCTCGCAGCCGCGGGGCTCGGGGTGCCGGGCAATAATAAAGCCCTGAGGGCCGGAGCCCGGCGCCCCCGCCCTCGCTGGGGTGCCCCCGTTGCAGTCCAACACACCGCCCCACACCGCCGGGGCTCCGGCTTTCCCAATATCACATTGGGGGGGATTCTGGGATGGGGGGCCCCCCTCCTCCGGAGGGGGTCCGGGGAAGGGGGCGGTGACTGGGAGGGTAACTCCCCCTCCAGGCCCCGCCCGCTCCCCTGGACACCTTCTCCGGACAGGGTCCCGCCCCGGCCCCCTCCCGGGGACTCCCTCCTCCGGACCGGGGCCCGGAAGGAGGGGGGGGTGAGGCAGCGGGGGGTGTGGCGGGTGGGGGGGAAAACAGAGGCGAGCACGTCACTCTGCAGCGTGAATACACATTAAAAAACAAAAAAAAAATTGCCACATATACATGGCCATCCCCTGGAGTCCTGTCACCTACCACCACCACCACCACCACCACCACCACCACCCCCGCCGTCCGGGGGGAGTTAGCCCCCAGGCACCCCCTCCTCCCCCGGAGAGAGCCCGTCCTAACCCTAACCCCCTCCAGCCCATGACCCCCTACAAGATCAAATGGCTCCGCCGGGCCCTCCCCGCGCCTTAAATCCCCCCAGGCCCCCGCACGCGCAGCCGCACTGGGGTCTCTCACACCTGTGCCGGCCCCGCCCCCGGGGCCCCGCCTCCTCCCCGCCCCCCGCCCGCCCATAAATCCCGGCGGATCCGCGCCTATCCCGCTTTCTGCAGGGAATGCTCATCTCGGCATGCAGCGGGAGTGTCAGTCGGAGCGCTGTGCGGGGATCCGGATCGGGGGCTCCTGCTGGTGCTGCGCGGGGTCCAAGGCGCTCAGGTGGGACCGGCATCTGGGCCCGGGGATTCGGGTCCTGGTCCTGCCGGTATTTCCTGTGGAAGCCAGGCCGAGCCGCTTCTTTCTCGGTGGGCCAGGTACAGGTGTCGGGGCCGGAGGATCGAGGTGGCATTGGGGCTGGGATCAGAACCGGCATCGCCGCGGGAAGAGCTACTCTGGGACAGGCGCTGCCGCTCTGGCTGCGGCAGTAGGGAGCCGGTGCTGTGCCACTACCATGCCCACCAGGAAGATGATGCTTCCCAGGAGCAGCCTCTGGATCGCGGCTGGCGCCGCCCCGCAGCCCCCCCCGGCCCGGTAACGCCACGAGCACCGCGCTCCCCTACGAGCCACAGCGCCCGCAGCCCCTGCTCCGTGTCCGCACCCCCGGGGGCTGCAGTGCCCCGGCTGGGAGCAGCCGCTCTGGGACGGCCGCTGGGGCCGAGGTGTTGCTGCTCCTGCTCCGATTGTGCCTAGTGTGGGACTGGAGCCCCAGGGAAACACAAGGGAAAAACCCCACGTGTTAAAAAAACAGTGAAAACTATTTGTTCTTTATTTCCAAAGCTGTGAGGATCATCAAATCAAATGCTGAGAAATGACTGCCCAGCTGCACATGGAACACGGAATTCTGGCCTTCTCAGCACCCTGCTCCAAACACCTGAGCCAATCCCAGGGTTGTTCCAAAGGTCTTGTGAGGGATGGGAATGACTGCTGCCAGTAAGAGAACTCCTCTACAAATGCAGCTCCTTCCCTTCTGCTAATGCTGCTTTACACACCAGCCCCTGCAATGGCTGTAGGGCAGAACTGGCTGGCACTCAACATGTCAGCACCAAACTCTTCCCCACAACCCTGCTTTTTCTGCCCTTTCCAGGATTTACCCAGCAGCTGTAAATGTGCTCACACAATGTCCCTTTGTTTCCCCAGGAACAAGACAACTCCTGAGGGTCACCTTGCTCTGTGGCCAAAGTTCTTCTGGAGAGTGGTGGGGGTGTTTCCTGCAGGTGAGTGTTGCCAGGTCAAAACGATGATGGCTGCTGAGGCCAGGGCTGTTTTTCTGGCCCAGAGGCCTTGGTGTCTCTCCTGCTTGCTGCCAGCGATGCTCCTTGGTGTTCCCTCAGTGTGTCCCAGCTGGCTGGGAGCGCAGGGCAGGAGGAGGCCAGAAGCTCCTGAAAGGCAAGCAGCACCTCGTGTCTTTGGGATCTGCAGGGGAGGAGCTGTGCCTGCACCGTGGCTCCTTGGCCAGGGGCTGCTCTGACCAGGCATGTGGAAATGCTTCAGCCTGGACAGAGACCACCAACAGCCCAGAAGGACCCCAAGGAGCAGCTGGCATTACTGGGAATGGAGGCAAGGGCTGTTTGCAGAGGGGCTCACATAGCAATTCCTGGTTCAGAGCTCCCACACAGCTGCCAGCTATGTCCCAGCCACCCCAAATCCCTTCCCTCCTCCCCAGCCTGAGGCCATCATCCATCAGCAGCATTAAAGCCAAGGCAGTCTTCCCCCACAGATATTAAATCCCAGGCAGTAGCCCTCAGAGATACCTGAAAATCAGTGGGATGGAGTTTGGAGTTTTCCAGGGATCCAGCTGGAAGTGCAGATGTCATGGAAAGCTTTCACAGGTAGGTCCCACTGGAGGTGTGCTGAAGACAGAGATGCAGATCCCTTTCCTGAGAGAGAAGAATTTGTAGAGGCCACTGCTGAGGCTCTGAAAGGAGCTGAGCTTCTGCAGGGAGAGATGTCCCCACCTGGGCACAGGGGCTGCCTCAGCACAGGCTGGGAGCACATCTGGCCACTGCCTTCTCCTGCTTTAAAACACCAACTGCATCTTCTCCATCCTGGAGCTCAGGGGGGTGAAATCAGCTCCATTCCAGGCAGCTCTGTCCAGTGAGCCCAGGGACACCATTGGGGTGAGGGTTCTAAATAGCCAGTTCTATGGAATAGAACCCTGTCCTTGTCCCTGTGCTGCTGAGCCTCCTTGGAAGCTCTGCTGGCTCCTGACACAGCTGCTGTCCAAGGCAGCAGCTCTGCATGGGAATACCCACACTCCATGGGGCACTGTGGGGTTACTGCAGTGGGAATGGAGCAGGGAAGTTGGGGCTATGGGTATAATTCATCAGATCTAGCACAGCTGACAGGGAACCCTAAATCTGGGCACCACACAGAGAACAATCTTTGTCCTGCCCTGTCAGCTCAAACCCCTGGGCTGGGAACTTTTGGGAATTAAATGTATGGAATTATACAAACCACAGCAAGTGGCATCAGCCAGTGGGACAATCCAGGTCCCAGACAATTGCTCCACAATCCACTATGGGGGAAAACACCCTGTGCCTGCCAGGAGCTCTGACTCTGCTTTTCCTACCAGCTCCTGAGCAGTGTCAGGGCCACCATGAGGGCTTTAAAATCCAAATAAACTCCATTTCCCACACAGTGAATAATCCAAATAAAGAAATGCATTCTTGTCATCAAAGCTCAAAACTGTGTTAGGAGTTCTGACAACAAGTTAATGAGATTCCCGGGATCCTCATTAATGCTCTTGGTTTCATTTTTATGTATTTTTAATCCCTCAGTGGGTAGCCTGTACAACTTATCCTGGGATTTAGAGGCTGAGCAGGGCTGGCTTTGGATTGACCTTCACCTCTGGCCCCAGCCTGTGCAAACACACCTTGTGCCAGGGTGGGTGAACTCATCACCTCAGCTTTTCCCTCCTAAATATCCCCTACTTATCTCTCTGGAGATTAACTCCCATTTTGCCCCAAACCATCCACTCCTCACCTCCATGGAGCCTCCAAGTGTCCATTCTGTTCCTCACAGGTGCCCTGGTGACACCATGTTGGTCCCTTTGCCTTTCTCCAGCCCGAGGCTGCTCCTCTGTTTGCTCTCTCCAGCCTCATCCCACAGGGATCCTCTTCTCCCTTCCCTGCTGGCTGCTGCCAAGGAAGGAGGACACAGTGAGTCTCCAGTGCTGACCCCTTAGCCCTGGAGAGTCCTGGCTGTGGGCCCGAGGGGCCTTGGATTTCCCAGGGAAATTGTCTGCTGGTCTCCCTTCAATTACCTCAGCAATTCCCTCAAAAATGCCAGCTCACTCCCCCTGACATCCCCTCACATTTTCCTACACAAACAGTTCTTGCATCCCCTCTAGATTACAGCAGGTTTTCATGAATGGCATCATCTATGCCCACTGCTTGTTATTCACCCAACCAAAATCAAGAGCAAATGTTGGTTAGGCTTTAATAACAACTTAAAATAACTTTAGAGCAAAATAAAACACCTTTTTCTTCTGTGGTTTTTTTCTCCTTCAGCTGCTGGACTCTGAGGATGTGTGCTGAGCTCTGGGTGGAGGGGACTGTCAGGCTGAATGGCTGTGAGTTTGTGTTCTTCTCACTGGGGCATCAGCAATTCCCCCAGTCCCTTTTCCAGGCTGTTCCATGTGGCTGTGGTCAGGCTGTGGCAGCACAGGCAGATGCAGCTCTCAGCACTCCCTGCTCCAAACACAACTCTGGCCTCCACTGCAATCTGTCTTGCTGGGAGGTTTTCTCCTAGAGAAATCCAAGAATTGCTCATGGCAATTTGGAGAATAAATTTCCACAAAGGGAAGTAAGGGATAAAATCCTGCTCTAGGAGCCCTTGGGATCTGCAGGGCTGGTTAGGGAAGGGGACATTTGCTCCCTGCAGTGCACACCCACCCACCTGCAGCACCCAGCACAGCCTGCCAGCTGGGCTCTGCCAGCCCCTCTCTGAGCACCCTCCCTGTGCTGCTCCCTCTCAGTGCCTTTGGCAATCCAACCCTGAGCCTGAGCAGCCCAAAGCTCTGTCTGGCAGCCCAGGGACAAAGGGACACTCCCAGGGTTGAGGCACATTCCCAGCAAACGCTCCCAACAGGGCACAGAGGCACCCCTGGAGCTCCTGTGTGGGGCTGGCAGGAGGGCACAGCCCCCAGCTGGGCTGGCAGTGGCAGTGACAGCAGCAAAGTGCCACGGTCTGATGGCACAACACAGACACCAAGGCCAGCAATGCCCATGGGAGGTGCACAATTAATTCTGCTCCCTGTGCTGCCCCATCCCAGCAGGAAAGCTCCAGGGGGGGTGGAAACTCCTCCCCCTTCCCCCCAGCCCCAGATAAGCACTCCTCAGTTTCAAACACCCAGTTCCCACCTCCAGCCTGCTCCCGGGGCTGCTGCCACATTCCTGACAAGGTGCCAAAGGCCACTTGGGACAGGGCTCCCTCTGTGTCTCAGGGCTTGGGGATGGCAGGGACCAGGGTGCTCCAGCAAGGACAGCCTGAAACCAGAGCAGATGTCCCAGGGTTAGCAATGGGCTGGGGACAGGAGTTCTGAAACCCAGAGTTCTGAAAACAGCCCCCAAAATGTTCTATGATCATACCCTTAAAATGGCTCCAAAGGGCAGCAGCTCCGGTGCCAGACCAGTACCTGCACGATTCCCTGTGCCAGCCCTGGCTCACTGAAAAACAAAACAAATCAACCATCACCCAGGCCTTGTTTGCAGAATTCCTGATCCAAACCCTCAACTTTCCTGCCCAGCACTGAGGGAAATCTGACACAGCATTAATAAGTGACCTTTGCTGAAAGCAGCCATCATCCCAGTCCTCCAGCCTTGGCAAGATTTTGCAGTGAATGGACCTAAGTTCTAATCCTAAACCTAAATTTCTGTCACTTTTTGTTAGAAAGGCACTGAACAGTAAATCATGCAACAGAATTGAAAAATGGCACAAGGAATAACAAGGCCCAGACAAAACCCAACCACCCCCATCACTGCTCCACCCCAATTTTGGGAGAAATGCTGATATCATTTCTAAATACTCCCATTCCCTCCCACTCAGTCCTTCACTGCACATCCCTGGAGAGGACTGACTCCATCTTTTGTTGCCAACAGCACCTCTCCAGCCCAAAGCCCACTTCTCACAGACACAAACTAAGCAAGCCTAAGGCATTGTTCCCAGCAGCAGATGCAAGTCCTGAACTCCCTTTTCCCTGGATTCTAAGCACTTGCAGGAAACTCACCTCAGCCCAGAGACTGTTCTGCTTTCCCAGAAGGAAATACAGCCTGATGGGCCACAGCTCTGGCACCACATTGCCCTTGTTCCTGCTGACCTGGAAAGCCACAGGTAAACCCAGTCCCTCAGAGCCCATCCCTGGGCACCAGGAGAGCTGGAGCTGTTCCCAGATGCCAGGGCCCTGCAGGGCTGTGCTGACACGAGCACAGGCTGACCACTGTGCCCAGCACCATCCCTCATTCTCCTCCCATTGCTCCCAAATCCTCCCAGCCCTGCCCCTGCATCTGTGCCAGGGCCATGCCTGCCCCCAGCCCGACCAGAGGCTGTCACCCAGCCCTGCACCGGCTGCCAGCCCTGGCAGAGCTGGGAATGCACTGAGAGCTCCCGAACCCCCAGAGCAGTCCTTGGGTGCACAGATAATGCCCAACCTGCCCCTCAGGGCACAGCCAACACCACAACTCCAGCATCCCCAGGGAACTCTGGCATTTGTCTCTTCACCTCTGCCCTTCTCCAGCAGACACAGCTGGGGCTGGGCTGTCAGCAATGGCATTCCCATGGCAGTTAATCCCAGCAGAGAGGAAAAGAGGAGCCCTGTGTCCCTCTGACTCACCCCACAGCATGGGCAGGACCAGAGCCCCCCAGTGCAGACCCCTGGTGCTGAGGCCTCTTGCCTTTGGCTGCTTAAACAGCAAAGCTTTTGGCAAAGATGGGAGGAGTTTGATGATTTTTCCTGCCCTGAAAGAGGGGAGAAAAAGAAAATTAAATCCACTGTGGAAGTCAAAGGATCCCAGCTCTCATACTTCTGCTCTGATTGCTCACTATGGGGTTTTATCCATGAGAGGTGACACCAATTCAAACATAAACGTGTCCTTTTCCAGCACTTTTATTCCTGACTATTTCAGACATTGAAAGGATGCTCATTTTTCTTATTGCATTCTCTGCCCAATTTTAACAGAACCATTTTTATCCCAGACCCCACGTGTCAGCCATTCCATCCTTTACCATTGGACTTTGCACAAAGGAAGGGACACCCAGGATGCTGCATCACAAGAAATCCCAAAGAGAATCCCCTCCAAAACCTCACAGAGAAAGGGTTTTTGCTTTTGGGACACAAGAAAGGCCTTTGACCATTTGCATCCACGTGGAAAGCCCACACTGAGCACTTGGTTTTAAAGATGTTGCACTTGAAGTTACAGACATGGAATTGCCTTGGGATTTGGCATTTCCTGCACCCACACAAACACATTCAAGGAATTAAGTGCAGCGTCCTGAAGTTTGGTTATTCCAATGCTGTTTTGGTAGTGCCACTTAACACACCAAAATCCACAGCAACACTTCAAAAAATGAAAAGCAACTTTCACCCCCACATCCCCCTTCCTTTCGATTTTGCAGTTTTGGGGTCCTCTTAAGAACAGGTTAAAGAGAAGAAGAAGAAAAGCCCAGGACCTACTACCAGCTAGTGCACCAGCCACCTGTTTTCCATAGATTCTCTCTCCTTACAGCTGATGGCTTTTCTAAGAAAGCTTCAGTTCAACCTTATCACAATCACCTGGCAGCACTCACTATTAGCCCCAAAGGCCAGTGCACATCTGTGTGCTACCTCAGGAAGCTCAGTCGCTCTCTGTGGGACAAAACCTGGTTTGGGCCCAAGAGCTGACTCTGCTCCCTGCTAGCTGAACTATCCAGCTGTAGGATGCAGCTGGATGCTGAAGGGCAGAGTGTGTAACCCTCTGTGAAAGCCAGGCTCCAAAGGCAGCCCTTGATGCCCCAGCAGTGCTGCTGGAAGCGCTGGCAGCACTTGGCACAGATGGGATGGAGCCTTCCCACAGCTCTGTCCCCTGGCACCGAGGGTGGCACAGCAGAGAGGCTGATGGAAGTAAAACAAACGCTGGATTTCAATGGACGCTGATGGGACTGAAAGCCCCAGCCCAGAGCTGCTCCCTGCCCAGCACAGGAGCTCCCAGTGCTGCTGCAGGGCACAGGCTCTGAGGGAACCCTGCAGCTGGGACAGGAACGCAGCAACAACAATTCCCAGGCACAAAGAGATCCCCACCTGCTCCAACAACTGAACCTCTGTGGCTCAGCCTCACGGGGTGTCCCTGCTCCAGGCAGGATGAGCCACACAGCCCCCGAGGCTGGGCTCACACCCTGCCCTACCAGCAGAAAACAAGGGGTTCATGAAGCTTTGGGGACACCTTCTGTCCCCAGAGTGCTTTGACCAAACATCCAGCAGTGTGGATCTTTAATAAAGACAGCTTGTACCTATCCTTGCAACAGACTCACCAATGTTATTTCCTCAAAGTCTCTGTTTTAAAATATTTTGCTATTACAAGTGTTTAAACAAGACTGACCATGAGCCCTGCACCCTTGCCATGCTCCAAGCCCTAAGGAAGAGCTGGATATCCTCACACTCATCCAATCTGAGGGAGCTGCTGCAGCATTTAAAACATTTCAAAACCACCCCTGCCCTGAGGGTGTCCAGCCCTGGGAGGTGCCTGGGTGCCAGCCCAGCATTAGAGATGGGACATCAGGAGAGCGAGCAGACAACACCCACTGCAGCCTCTGCACTCTCAGCACTCCAGCTGCACCATCCTCATTGCTCAGGGACTCTCAGCTCTGTTTCCAGGACTCCCATAGGGAAACTGAGGGCCCTTTCCAGATGCAAATCCCCAAAGAGCCACTGCTCTCCTCTCCACCCACCCTCCTGCTCCAACTTTTACCCCTTTGATAGCCACCACCCCACCCAGGACACAGAAGGAGGCTCTCAGGCACCAACTGAGACCCAAATCGTCCCAGGTGGCTCAGGAAATAAACACAAACAAACTCGTCCCTTCTAGGGTAACAAAATGTCCTGGTGCCCAGTTCCTGTTTCCTAAGGCAAAACACAGGGATCAGGGGAAAATGGCAAGTCCCAAACCCAACAAAACCTGGTTTTGCATCGGTTTCCATCAGGACTGTTCAGGTTTCCCAGTGCCCCTCAGCTGCAGCCACAGGAGCAGCTTCTCTCTGGGACCCAGGGGGGTGGGCACAGGGACACCCATCCCGCTGCTTCCCGGAAAACAGAGCTCAGCCCACCCCAGAAATATAAATAACAAATGCAGTTATTGCCTTTGCCATTTATCTATTAGCTCTGGCACGGTATTATTGACCACAAAAATCCTGAGAGAGTACAATCTGTAACTACTGCTCTTGATAAAGTATAATCTGTCAGTTCATGTATGCACTGCATAGCTTTTATAAATAGCTGTGTAATAGATACTATTTTAGACTGCAGCATAATAAAGACTGTGAAATGTTAAAATGCTTTTACATGTAAGGAACTCAGAAAAGGTGTCAGATAATTAGGTGATTTCCCACATTTGGGGACAATCTTATCTGAAACACAAGATAACAGAAACAGAAATCAGAGCCCCGAAAAAAAAAAGGAAAAATTTATTGACCCTCGCTATCAAATAACGAGGGAGTGAAAATAAAACAGGATGGCACCACAGGAAGAAATAAAGTATACTGGTTTAACCCACAAGATGGCATGAAGGTTAAAATCAAGCAAAAGAACATCTAAACTCAAAGGACTGTTTGAATATGTATAAACTCCAATGAATATGCATACACCACTGCAATGTAACACAATATAGAGAACACGATTTAAGGTAACCGGGTGCTCCTGGCAAACAGCCAAGCACTCCAGCGCTGCCTTTTATCCCTTAACAAACTTGTAAAAATTCTAAAGAGTGAACTTTGTTTCTCACACAATAAAGCGCTGTCCCCGCAGCTGGGACGAGCCCCAGCCTTATTCCACGGAACACGATCCCAGAGAGCCGCAAGGCCTGGGACAGACCCGTCCCACCCACAGCGGGTCCCACGCAGCAGCGCCCAAAGCAGCCCCGGCCCCCTGTGGGTGCCCCGGCCCCGGTGCCCCCGGCCCAGCTCCCTCCCCTCCGGCCGCTCACCTGAGGGCACCGCCCGCTGCCTCCCGGCGCTGCTGCCGAGCCAAGGGCATTGTCCCCGCTCCTGGCCCAAAGGCCGCGTTCTGCGCTGCAGGGCGCGCTCCGGGGGACGCGGGGCCGGGCAGGGACAGGGTGACCCGGGCTGAGGCGGCTGTCCCAGCGCTCTGTCCCCTCACAGGGCTCAGGCCGGGGAGCGGGGCCCTGCCAGCGGCCGCCACTGCCCCGCGGAGCAGAGTCAGGTACGGCCGAAGCGCCGAGTGTGGCCGAGTGGAGCCGACAACAGCCGAGTGTGGCCGATAACAGCCGAGCGTACCCGAAGGGCTGACTCTGGCCGCGATTTGCCGAATCGATCCGAGTTTAGCTCAGGGGAACTGAACGGAACGGGACGGAACCGCGTTCAGCCGAACCGAACTAGATAAGCCCAACCGAACTAGATAAGCCGAACCAACGCGAGATCAGCCGAACCAACCTGAACATTACGGGGTCGGTCGAACCGAACTGAGCCGAGCTCCGAATGCAGCGAGCGGCTCCGAGTTCAGCCGAACTGAGCCGAGATCGGCTGAACCCGGCCTGCTGCTCTCGTGTCCATTAATTAGTGCCAGTGCAGTCACAGCTTAATGAGCACTGAACGTGTCACAGACACACCAGCCACCCTCCTGACACTGATGCTCCCAGGGATTTTCCTTTTTCCAGGTTCCAGAACTCATCCAAAGGAGCTGCACAGTTCTTGGGAAGGTCCTTGCTGGACAAGTGACACAAAGGGCACAGGGAGCATTTAAAGCAAACGAAGTGACAAAAAGGCACCTTTAGGTCAGAGAGAGGCTGAATCCCCATAAGGAAATCCACTGAAACAATAAGCTAAGTGTGGAGAGCTTTGTGGACAGTTGGCTAGCTGAGAAAGGTCACATAGACATGATACCGCTGGTTAAGATAGAAGAAAGCAAGTCTAGGAGTCAGCAGTCAGTGTCCAATCACTGATGTGACCTTGCTGCAACATCAGGATGGGGGAGAGGATCTTTTGCCAGAAATACGGAGATAGTTTCAGCAAAATAACCACAAGAATGTAGAAGTAGTAACAAAATAACCATAAGAATAGAGAAGCAGGTGTGGTTGACCGATAAGTAATTAACCAATATTGAGCTCAGCTTTGCAATATGTATTAGCTTCATTAACACCAATATAAATATGTGTGAACTATCTCAATAAACTGGGAGACTTGTTGATCACGCATATTGTGTGCTGCATTTCTTCCACCGATCCAACAAATGGTGACCCCGCGACGTGATACCGGCAACAGCAACTGTTATAAAATTGACTCAAAACGAGCAATTTCCAATCAAAGAATTTATTAATTATTGAAGCAGTTATACTACGTAAGCAAAGGCTCAACGCTGGGCGACAGGGGAGTCTCAGCTCCACCTACTGCCGCACCAACTAGTTTCTGATTCAGTCCTTTTATCCTCTCCATCCTTCAGGAGTCCATGTTATCTCGGAGTTCTCTGCGCCTGCGCTGGTTGTTGCTAGGGGTTCATCCTTCTGTCTCCTGGTGGTCGGTGATAAAAGGCTGCGGAATCTTCCTCAGCTGCGTCTTCTTCACCCTATGTCTTTATTTGGTGACTTCTCCATGGAAAATTACCAAAATCTTATGATTAACACAATATGTGCCCTATCAAGCTTAAGCAAGCAAATATCCTGCCTTGCAGACTGTTTATCTGTCCCTGCCCCTTCCCCAGCTTTTCCCTGGTCGTTATCTCTGTGAGTTATCTGCTTGTACCATTTGTCAGCGGGAAAGGTTTCCCTGCTGGGTGTTAATCTGCCCCTGCCCTTTCCCCAGCCTTTCTCTGGTCGTTATTTCTGTTAGTTATCTGTTTGTACCATTTGCTGGGTGGGACTATGTGTGGGCTCCTGCAACCCCTTCCCTGGTATCCTTGTAGCTCATATCTCATGAAGTAGTACAGAAATAGTCAGCAGACAACTCTTGTAACACACTGGTCTCTTTTTCGTGACGAACAAAATGTAGTCCTTCATCTCAGCAACCACAGTGGATCGGTGTAGGAGTTCGGGTCCTGTCGCAGCAAGGATGGCGAACAAGCACCGCTGAAAAAGGGAAGGTGCTGCGCCCTGGGCAACCTTAACGGAGAGCCTGGCTGATACGTGCTGCCGAGACCTTGTGGGGCTGCAACAGCGCTGACGTTTTTAAAATGGATAGAGAAAGGCAAACAGCATATAGATTTATTTACTTGCTTTTTACAAAAGCGTCAGGTTAAGGGCATAGATTTGCAGAAAGAGCTACATGGGTTGTTAGCTTATGGGTATGAACAGGGACTTTTTCAAAATCCTCATACAGTACATGAGTTAACGGAGTGGCGTAAATTTGGGGACAAGATGTGGCAGGCAGTCATAGATGATGATAAAACTGCAAAGAAGTTGGGAAAGTTGTGGCGAGTTGTGCATGATGAGTTATTACAATATCAGGCAGAAGAAAAGGCTGCTAAACAAGCTAGCATGGTGCATGAAAAGAATAAGAGTTATGGGGACTGGTTTAATTGTCCTTTACCCCCTGCCACATCCACAGTCATCTTGCCACCAACATCAGCTCCTGCTTCAAGCAGCAACTCACCCCCCGTGCGTGCCACAGCAGCACCGTCTGCACCGCCTGTACCATGGCCAGACCCTCCATCTCCTCCTCCTAGTAATGAGCCGATCCCTGGGTCAGAGAGTGACCTAGCGGGGGCCATTGCACAGGAGCGAAGGAAGGCATGGGCAGCGGTAGCAAAAGATATCATGGACTCGGGGGATGGAGAGGCTATAGCAGCAGCTATGGATGTTGCTTGTCTGGTGATATATTCACCCGTGGCAGGGGGCAGGTTTCAAGCATCAATAACTGCTCTAGACTGGAAGCTGTTGTCACAATTATGGTCCACAGTTAGTCAATTCGGGGTAACCGGTGAGCCCACAAAACAAATGCTTGATTATATCTGGGGTACTCAGGTTTTGCTGCCGGCTGATTGCAGAGGAATAGCGAAGCTTATCCTCACTCAGCATCACCAGCTTTTATTTAATGCACACTGGCAGTCACTCTGCCAGGAATGTATAGCAGTAGCACAGCAGCCAGGCAACCCGTTACATGGGATAACCCTAGAGGAGCTAATGGGTTTAGGGCCTTTTCTTCGGACAGAAGCACAGGCGTTAATCGGTCCTGATAAATGTCGGGAGGCTATGCGCCTGGTGCAATTAGCTATAGATAGGATAAAAGAGCCAGGGGAGATTCCTTCTTATATGGGAATAAAGCAAGGAAGAGATTAGTCTTTGAA